TGTGGTGGTTATCACCCTGATACAAGCAGTACTTTGTGGTAGTTATCACCCTGATACAAGCAGTACTTTGTGGTGGTTATCACCCTGATACAAGCAGTACTTTGTGGTAGTTATCACCCTGATACAAGCAGTACTTTGTGGTGGTTATCACCCTGATACAAGCAGTACTTTGTGGTAGTTATCACCCTGATACAAGCATTACTTTGTGGTAGTTATCACCCTGATACAAGCAGTACTTTGTGGTAGTTATCACCCTGATACAAGCAGTACTTTGTGGTGGTTATCACCCTGATACAAGCAGTACTTTGTGGTGGTTTCACACTGCCAAGACATTGCCCTGATTTGATGCCACCGATAGTTGATGCATAAGTGAAAGCATTAGTGTGGGAACACACATCACTAGAAGATGCTGTTATATATACCCACAGATGGTTCTGTGATTCGTCAGAAGCGAAGTGCATAGGCTTTCACGACAAGAACTAAAGGTAAGACAGGGGAGCCAGTGCTTCTACCACCACTAGCATGATAATGGAGGTTATGGCTGTATAAAAGCCCTAGAATGGCTGAAAACCCAGGAATTCACCATGCATGTTTGCTCCGCGACTCAATGAGCATGCTAAAGAAGAACAAGGCGGGGCCTATAAGGAAACAGTGACTCCATCTAATACATCATGTAATGTTTCGGACAATCACCTTCATTGTAGTCCCAGGTTACCAAATCATGAGTAAAGCAATTAGAAAAAGACTGGGACTAAAACCTGTCATACAATTCATTAAAGAACATCAAATTAGAAGGTTTGCCCACCTGACGAGAATGCCCTGGTTCCAACTGCCACAGAGAGTCACGCTAAAGAAATATAACAAACACAGAGCAAGGGAAAGATCCCGCAAGAGATGGAGCGACATCATCGAGAGCAACCTAACAGAAAAGAACACACATTTGTACAATGACCTGGGAAAAAAAATAAGGTCCACAGACGATCCTTACATTCCCAACACCTCGCTGAGGTAAACGGTGGAAGAGAAGGAGAAGAAGAAGAAGAAGAAGAAGAAGAAGAAGAAGAAGAAGAAGAAGAAGAAGAAGAAGAAGAAGAAGAAGAAGAAGAAGAAGAAGAAGAAGAAGAAGAAGAAAGAAGAAAAAGAAGAAGAACAAAGAAGAAAGAAGAAAGAAGAAAGAAGAAAGAAGAAGAAAAAGAAGAAGAAGAAGAAGAAGAAGAAGAAGAAGAAGAAGAAGAAGAAGAAGAAGAAGAAGAAGAAGAAGAAGAAGAAGAAGAAGAAGAAGAAGAAAGAAGAAGAAGAAGAAGAAGAACAAAGAAGAAAGAAGAAGAAGAAGAAGAAGAAGAAGAAAAAGAAGAAGAAGAAAAAGAAGACAGAGGTGAGAGGATCGACTTCACTACACCGTGTTTTATCCCAAATGACTTAGTCTCCACCCGCAGAGCAGCTAGCTGCCTGACGAGAGAGTCAGAGCACGACCTCCATAGCTGCGGCCACGTTCCCCAGGAATCTCCGTACAAACTGCACTTGTTGTATGCCAGGAAAGAATCGGGTCGGGGGAAGTGGAGCAAGTCGTGAGCTGGAGGTTTAGGGCGGCATGGCTTACGCAGTGGTTTCGATCTGTGTAGATAGACACTCGACAAACCGTGGTCACCCGCAATGGATTTCTACTACTAACCATCCTATCAGCCACTCCTCACCAAGGTCGGTAACAAAAAAAAAAAATCCAACGTCACAGGCGAACAATAATACAGAAAACACTTTATGAAATAACTAAATTAATAAATGTAATTAAACCGAAGTGACTATAACGGACGCACTATTGACGAAGTATCCGGAGCTCCATTCATCACAAAGTAACGAGGCTGACAATAAAGACTTTCTATGGTGCTCCGTTCTGTCACCTCTGATCATTTTTCAACAATGCGCAGTGTTTGCCTTGCGAATTGTGTTTCACAGAATATTGGAAAACTATGAGGAGACAAGTGACATGCAAAAGTGATGGATGCAAAAATCACCATGCTTGGCATTTTCTAATAAACTCCTGCTAGTGTGTGGGAGACATTTTAAAATGTAATATAAAAAAGTAATTAATGAGCGTTCGGAGTACGAATGCTTTACAATTTAGTTGATCGAGAAGTCTTGTTAATGAGAAATTTATTGAGGATTTATTATATGCCCGTTTCACCGGGGGGGGGGGGGGGGGGGGGGGGCTGAGGTAACGTAGTTGTCAGTGGCTTGCATACCAAAACGAAGACCTTAGGTTCAAACCCACACTAGGTCGGATTGACAAAAATTTAATGGTTGTCCCAAAATAAAATGAGTACAAGGTGGAAGTACTTACTATAGGAAGTACTTACTATTAGAAGTATTTTACACGGAAAGTACTTTATATGGGAAGCACTTACTATGGGAAGTAAAGGAACCAGAGCGTTGTTGACCGTATCACACAACGAGTGTCGATTGGTTTATAAAAATATAGAGCTGTGGATTTCATGTGGGGCTTGTTGATGACTGCACTAGAATGGCAGTTGCACAATTACGTTCAGAAATGGCTTTCATGATTACCTTTGATTAACCATGATTAGAGCAAACAATATGCTGCAATTTTGGCGTGGGACAGCTAGTGTTGGCATATCTGTCTTCAGCATTGTTACTTTTTGTGTGTTATCTTACTGGTTTCCAAATCAAATATGCGCCAGCAAATAACATTTGGTGTGATTTCTACGGGCGTTGGGACGGTGCACTTATGGGGCGACTTACCTGCAGTAATGTCACAACTATCGAATGACTGTAAAAATGTGTACCTAGTATTGTATACCCGACATACCATTGGCGTAGGAGGAGTGCTTTTCTTACTCTAATTACCATACTCAAAATAGGGCTGCGTGGTCTCGAGGCATGGGTCCGCCTCGAGTACTAGAGGTTCCGGGTTCAATACCCGGTAAGGCTGGGATTTTTTCACGTGGACTTGGACTTCTAGTAATTCCCCCCTGGTCTCTGGGTAGTGGGATCGGACGTCCGTGTGCATTACTGCGCATAATAAAATACCCTGGCGGTTAGAAATCTAAAATAGTAGCCTAACGGCGCTGCTCGGGCAAAATTTGGAGTTAAAAATCTGCCCAAAGTATTTCAGGATCCTCGCCGGTGCTACAGAGCCTGTGCACTGTGTTGAGCTTCAATGGACTCAGACTTGAGTTAGAAGAAGAAAGGAGCACTAATGGGTTACTAGCCGTGTGCCATGATGTTGATCCGTTGTTTAAACCTTAAACCTCAAACAATGCCTAAAGCCAACAGTTGCCGCCTGTGTCCTCTGCGGCCATCTTCCATTGAGAAGGCGATTGCCTTTTCAATAATATGTATGTCGTTTGCCAGACTACACACTAATGTCTGGCATCGAAGTGGTAAAGATCAGCAAACCAAACTGACGTTATACTGAGCTGTGGTGCTTCCAGTGCTAATTAGGGCTGTACCGAATATTCGCTTCGTACTCGCTTCGGGGCCGAATAGTGGACCTAATAACTATTCGGTATTCGGCCGAATAGTTGCGGTCGGGCCGAATACGAATAGTGGTTACCTTACTCCCGTTTCTGCATACACTGTGATGGACTGAAATAACTCTTTAATTAACACAATAGTTGCTGTTGCCTAAGTCTGTCGTAGCGGAGGAAACTGCGACCCTGTTGCGTGGTACAAACTGCATAAAATGCCAACCGCAGTATGTGTGTGTGTGTGAGAGAGAGAGAGAGAGAGAGAGGGGGGGGGGAGAGAGGGACAGAGAGAGATCATGCATTTTTAGTTCTTTCAGGGTGTCTTCGCCCAATTCAAATTTGAAGATATTGCTAACGCGAATATGAAGATGTGTTTAAATTACATCGAACGAACGGTCGAGCGAACGATGGTTTTGAAAGAGGCGGGAGCCCGAAGACAACTAATCACAGACATCAGAAGGTGACAGTCGTCATTTTTCAGCCATGTTATGAGAATAGGAAAAATTGAACATTTGGTGACCACTGGAAAGATCTGTGGAAGGAGGGATAGAGGAAGACAACGATATAAGATTCTGGACAGTCTTGTTGCATGGCATGGAGGTGTGTCAGCACACGAACTGATACATGCTGCAGGAGATAGCAGATTATGGATAGTCATGATCGCCCACGCCAATCGGCAAGGCCCCTGATGATGATGATGATGATGCACTATTCGTATTCGTATTCGACCGAATAGTTGGTCTCACTATTCGTAGTCGGCCGAATAGTAAAAATCACTATTCGGTACAGCCCTAGTGCTAATAGATGCTTGTCACACATGGCCTGTGTGCTGACATTATGCTGAGAAGCTCAACCACTCACATGCAGTCTGAGAAAGATATTGAACATCAAGTAGCAAGACAGTGTCCCAGATACTGTCGTAGACAGCACTGGCACTCCCAGATTCGATATAATCCTGATGCAGTCACAGATTTAATGGGCAGGTCTGGTTGTCCGCTTGCCAAACCAGCGGCTCTCAAATATCATCTTGATTTGGGATTTCGTGGCGGTCAGAAAAAAACACCGCTTCAAGGACACGCTAAATACACAATTCAAAGCCCCCACACGGCTGCGCATAAAGTGGACACACTACAATCACCATCAGACCCTGCGACACAGAGGCAGCTGTACAAGACTTGACTACATAGGGAATGTATATATATATATATATATATATATAAAAAATAAAAAAAAGCAGCGACCCTTGAGACTAAGAGCAGCTTAACAGCGCAGGAAGACTAGAAAAATCCGTATAACAGACTCTTTACCTACAGACACTGTTCCCTGCCCTCATTGTCCGAGATCCCTCCAGGTCCGTACTGGGCTTGAAGTCACCTCTGAACTCAAATGATCAACGACCGTTTTATGACTGATAAACGAAAGGGTGGTCATCGCCGCTGGTGATGGGCGAAACAACAATATCTTCATCGTTTTAATTTTATATTTTCTTCTTTCAGAAACTGGACTGCATTCTAGTGACGATTTACATACCAACACTGACCACCAAGCACAAAAGAGGATGTCGTTCAGCAGTCCAGTGGGAGAGAGTGATGGTTTAATTCTCACAAACGATGATTTGGCAGATCCACTCAACTCTGACGAATCCCTCGACAAACGTGGCTCCTTGTTCCGATTCGGAAAACGACAGGGGAGTCTTTTCAGATTCGGCAAAAGAGGGTCTCTTTTCAGGTTCGGAAAACGTCAGGGAGGCACTTTGTTTAGATTCGGAAAACGAGGTGGCGCCCTCTTCCGCTTCGGCCGCAGCAACGCAGCACAAAACCCATGGGAGAGCAATGCCGACGACAAGAGGACACTCTTTCGATTTGGCAAAAGATCAGATGTTGATTTACTGGCCGAAGTCCTGGCGCAGTACGAGCAAGAGAACACTGCTGAAAACAAACGGGGAATAGACAGTTTTCATTGGGGAAGCGATTCAGAGTAATACACAGAACTCAGTTTTCACACATTTTTATTAGATAGTGAAATATTTTATCTTTATTGAATAAATTAATCTTGAGCATTGGAAAAACATGTATTGTCTTCGCCGTTTTATTTCTGTACAAAAAAAATAATAAACTACAAATTACCAGAAAACAAATGAAACGTGCAATATTAAATTAATACTGCACTAATTATAAAACATATTATTGGGTACATCCATGAGTGTGTCAGCTTTTTCCTGGTTCGAATTGTCATAAATAACTTAATACTTTTTTGCTGGTCAAGGATATTACATATGTTTTCTGTACAAGGTTCAATGTTAAATTTTATCAGATAATAAAATCAATAATATCAAATATGTCTCTACTTTTTTTCACATATGATGTAGTTTATGGATGCTATTGACTTACATTGTATTGTACTTATCAATGTTGTGTGTCTTGGTTACTTCTTCTCCATTTAGTAACGATCTTTCAACGTGGGATATTTTGGTGTTCTGGAACACGAGCAACCAGATACGTGGCTGTTGCTGCATCTTGGATGGCGACTTGATGCATGACAAGCTAGATCGGATCAAGGTCCTTCTTAAGCAAGTATAAACACTGTGGACGCGAAAATAGTTCGTTACGATTTGGCGAGAACGGCGCAATGGAGGTAACCCACCAGATCTATCCAACACTAAACTGAGGAAAGGCAACTGCGCTGGCAGCTGAAAATGGGGACATGGTGCTTGTGAGAAAGTCCCGAGTTTTAGGATGTTGATTCCTATCTCAGCTTCACCCAAAAACTGTCAGGCGGTTGGTGATGTTGATGGGAAAGAAATGTTTAGAACAGTCGTTTCTCCTTGCCTTATGCCGGGTTGTCTAAGATTGGACTCATGATAACCGTTGTACGAGGACAAGCCATTAAGTAACGGCATTTATATCCTTGTCTGCATGGCACAGTATGCAAAATAAAAGAAATAATATTATTTCAGAACACAGAATGGCCCCTTTGCAATATCAAAAGTACGTGTAGTGACGATTTAGCATAATGCGCATGGGTAATAAGTTGTTAAGATGGCCGCAGCACTGTTAGCATGCACCGTGCAATAGCAACGAGGTCATTGCTTTGTGTGTGTGTGTGTGTGTGTGTTGAATGCGTGTATATATATATATATATATATGGGTGTGTGTTGAGTGTGTGGTGCGGGCGCGCGAGCGTGTCTGTGTGTGTGTGTGTGTGTGTGTGTGTGTGTGTGGAACAGTCTGAAATCTATTGAAGAATGAAAGTTCAATACGGAGACAGTGGTTTGTGTCAGAGGAAAGTGTATGAAAGAGAGGAATAGTTTTAAAAATGGAACGGATAACGTCCGTGATGAAAAGGGTAGATCTGTAAGCGTGGCAACTGAGACAGTGACACAACAGACAGACCAGCGAATCAGAGACAACAAACAAGTCACTACTGATGAAACTGCTGTCCACGGAGTCACGGTGCTGCGAACACAAATTGTTAGTGACGAGTGTGGGTATATAGATAGATGTCTTCTCTCAAAAGTAGCTTTGTTGCTTCATGACAACGGCCGCTCCCACACGGCTGCGCATAAAGTGGATACACTACAATCACCATCAGTTTTTAAGAGAGAGAAAAGACAGAATCAACCAGCTTACCGTAAGGGGTAGCTGTAGGTTATAATTGTGACAATATTATGTGCGCCATATGATATGGCCTGGCATTCCAGGCTACCAAGAGCCCTAAAAAACACTCCTGCAATGTTAATGCGATCAAAGACAGACCAAAATACTGTCCCGATCGGAGATAAAGTCGTCTACCGGCGAGCCAATGGACAGCCCGGCTGTCGATGAATACACTACAGACTCTGCGGTATGAGGTATTGAAACATCCAGCATAAGTCCACATTTGGCACCATCAGACTTACATTTGTTGGGCCGACTGAAAGAACATTGCCGGCGGGGTCAGAGATTTGCAGATGACAATGATGTGATGTCGGTGGTGCACACTTGCATACTGGCCACACCCCAAGCTTCTGTCGGTGGGGCGACCACAATCTTGTGGATCAGTGGACTACACGTGTCGCAAGCCAGGGAGACATTATGCTGATAAATGGTACACAGGTGAATTCTGCTCCTATCGCTTGCTTAAAAAAAAAAAAACTGCTAATGCAATTGCCGTTACTTAATGATCTCTTCGTATTACAAGTCTTCTTCTTCGTTTCACCGGCTGTGAATTCCGGCGGAAGGTCCCGGTTAATCGTCCGCTTGGACTTTTGGCTTTTACCTGGACCTGAGTTTTGCGTGTACAACCGTTTTGCTGTTCCCTGCCTCGCGGGGTCTGATCCAGCAGGGTAGAAGTGAGAGGTTGACAATTATGAAGGTAGACATCATCACGTAATGTAAAAGCAAAAGAATCCTTTTCCACACTTTTATCCATTTTGGGCATATAGGACAGACATATATTTTTTAGACCTATCGGCACTACTTGTTTGGTGATGTGGTCAGCATCACGCCGGTCGCCTTTACTTCACAAGGCTGCACCTGGTACCCATTTATGGCTAGGTCGAGCTGGGACACAAGGTAATTTTTGAAAAAAAACAAATGTCTGCCTCAGTCAGGACCGAACCCACCCCCTTCTGATCCGCAGGCGAGCGTCTAGGCGCTACACCACGGCGACTCAAACCACGTCATGTTCTTAAAGAAACATGTGAGTGCATGTCCCAGCTCAATACGAGCAAGAGAACAGGTCTCGGCATCTCAAGACGGCTGACAACAAGCGGCTGATAGATAACTTCCACTCGGAAGAGACTCAGAGTAAAATACAACACTCAGTGTTCACACATTTTGTACCCAACCTCCAGTGTGGAGACGGTATAATGTCTGTCTGTCTGTCTGTCTGTCTGTCTGTCTGTCTGTCTGTCTGTCTGTCTGTCTGTCTGTCTGTCTGTCTGTCTGTCTGTCTGTCTGTCTGTCTGTCTGTCTGTCTGTCTGTCTGTCTGTCTGTCTGTCTGTCTGTCATAAGGACAATTAAAAGATGGCCACGTACTTTTGATATGGACCAAAGAGGAGCAGCGTTCTGTGTAGTGGGAGATTAGGCTAGTCATTGAAGGTGTGAAACCTATAGAAATTTATGACTGAATGAATGAATGAAAGAATGAAGGAATGAATGAATAGCCATTTCGAATTATGTTCACCTCAGCCAGGGGCAAAAGGCTAAGATATGTATGGAAGCCATGACAAATAATATGGTTGAGTCCAGAATTATGCAGACGAAAGGACATGGTCGTTCCCTTGCTTTTGCTCTGGTGAAGCAGTTACTTGTAAACTCAGGGAGCTGGAGAGTGAAGACAGAAAGATATTGAGGTCTTTGGCATCCGCTGCATACGATTACAACGGCTAGAGTGACTTGGCATGGTTTAACTCTTAGAGTCCTAGGGGGTTTAGCATCACAGGTCCAGGGCGTAGTAAGGAAAGTAATAAAATTGGCGCATCATGCGTTCATTGGGCTTCTAGGTAGGAACCTATGAACGTATAATGCGTTCCTTGGGACTCAAAGAGTTAAGCTTCATTAACAGATAAAGGGTAGGAAACAAAGATTAAAAAAAATGTAAATGTAATAGTGTGTGGGGAAAGCCGCTGTGGTAAAGCGGCTAGATGAGTGCTTACGGATCAGAAGGCCTGAGTGCAGATCCGAACTGAGCCGGACTTTCTTCCGTCAGAAAGGATTATGGCTATGAGGTCGACTCATCTATAAATGGGTGAAACAGGTAAAGTCCTAGGAAGTAAAAGCGGCGGTTGTGTTGTTGACCACATCACCCATCGTGTACTTATTGGTCTATACAATTAGTCTAGCATTATATTCACTTGGCGTCGGTTGGTTCAGGGCCCATGCTCCATTGGGAGCTAGAAAGGCAGAAGAATTATATTTACAATACGCCTCAAAGCGTGGAAAAGGGTCCATTTGACTTGTGTCCTGAAGTGTCTATACTGAAGTTATTCAGACTAAGTAATTATTGCTGTGAAGCTCAAATCCTGGACATACAAGAGGCCTAGTTAACGAAGAGTTAAAACAAGTTCGTTGCATTTTCTTCTCACGACTTGGCACACCAACGCGGGAAAACTTGTTTCATTTTTGCCGGTAACTTCACGTTCACTGGTTAGCCATTTGTCAGCGTCAACGGTTTAGGATTTATGAATGCAGTTTCCTAATTCTGACATACCAGAATGCATTAGGAATGTAGCTGCGGGTCGCGTAGCAGCAGATCGTTTTGCGTTGATTTTAGAAACTGTATAAACATTAACAGCTCAGATATGACAGTTTATTTAGCGTGAGAAGTATCCAGCGAAATCACAAACTGGCATCTGAATGATCACATTGGTATGCAACTCGTTGTCAAGGATGTGCACCAATGCCGTCCCCATATGGCATGCAATTTTGTCGTTCTTTGAAGCCCCCCCCCCCCCCTCGCTTTTGTCGGGGCCATAAATATAGCCGGACCATCAATATGGCCTATCCTCTGAAGGGCGATTTAGGGACCTCTCCACGGGTGATCCTCATCCGCATGTTGACACTTTGTGTCGCAGCTGTTTATCGCTTCCCATGGTGTCCTGGTGGGGTACAACTTACACACACACAAATACACACACGCATACACACATACACACAAACACACATACACACATACACACATACACACATACACACATACACGCATACACACATACACACAAACACACATACACGCATACACGCATACACGCATACACACATACACACATACACACATACACACATACACGCATACACACATACACACATACACACATACACACATACACACAAACACATATACACACATACACACATACACATATACACACATACACACAAACACACATACACACAAAAACACACAAACACAAACACACATACACGCATACAAACATACACACATACACACATACACGCATACACACATACACGCATACACACATACAAACATAAACA